TTTTTTTTTGAGACGGAGTTTCGCTCTTGTTACCCAGGCTGGAGTGCAATGGCGCGATCTCGGCTCACGGCAACCTCCGCCTCCTGGGTTCAGGCAATTCTCCTGCCTCAGCCTCCTGAGTAGCTGGGATTACAGGCACGTGCCACCACGCCCAGCTAATTTTTTGTAGTTTTAGTAGAGATGGGGTTTCACCATGTTGACCAGGATGGTCTCGATCTCTTGACCTCGTGATCCACCCGCCTCGGCCTCCCAAAGTGCTGGGATTACAGGCTTGAGCCACCGCGCCCGGCCCAATCCCCATATTCTTTAAGGAAATTCAAAATTATGTTCCTTTAGCTTTATCCGATTAGACACATCCTCAACAAAGAAACCTGCTATCAGACATTTACTCTTAATTATAAATTTAATTTATGAGCTGCCTCTTTCAAGATTATTTACATTTTAAATATCTTCAATTGAGAAATGAAAGAGATTTGTGTTTTGCTAAAAGAATCTTATTTCAACAAGGAGAATAAGGGAGGTATTTTATTTTATCTTATTTCATTTTATTTTATTTTTATTTTTGAGTCAGAGTCTTGCTCAGTCGCCTAGGCTGGAGTGGGGTGGTATGATCGTGGCTCACTGCAACCTCCGCCTCCCAGGTTCAAGCGATTCTTGTGCCTCAGCCTCCCAAGCAGCTGGGACTACAGGCACATGCTACCACACCTGGCTAATTTTTGTGCTTTTAGTAGAGATGGGGGTTTCACCATATTGGCCAAGCTGTTCTCCAACTCCTGATTTCAGATGATCTGCCTGCCTCAGCCTCCCAAAGTGCTGGGATTACAGACATGAGCCACTAAAAATTTTTTTCCACAGGGATGTGACTTTAAAAAATAGGGAAATGAATAGAATCTTATCTGCTAGAATCTTGCTTCAACAAGATCTCTTAGACTTGCTTTGGCCACATTACAACTCTACCAAAAAAAGGAATTTTTTTTTGTAAACTTCAACTAATTGAGGTAATTAATTCCTTTCTTCAATTCATGGCACACTCTTTACATTATTCTTGCAAAGCCCTCTTTGTTACTTTTTTTTGTTTTATTCTTTCATTGGTCTCCACTTTCCCCCATATACAACCACTTAAAATATGCCTTTCCAGTCGACCCTTTATGTATTTATTTAGTGATATGTTTCTTTATATAATGTGAAAAATACATATGTACAGACAGTGGTTTTCAGACATATGAATTGCATTATGCTACTGTTTTAAAATTCTGTTTCTGTTTCTTTTGAGTTAAAGTGTTAACTTTAAAGTTAAAGTGTTCATTGGTTTAGATTGCTATAAGGTATTCCATCTGAGGCATACACCACATTTTACTTATAAATTTCTCTACAAATGACAACCTAGGTTGCCTGCAACTCATTGTCACTGCAAATAATACTGCAGTGATTGTTTTAATACATAGACTTGTGTATGGAATCCAGTTTCCAAGATGGCCCCAAGTGATCCTTGCCTTCTAGTATTCATGCCCTCATATAATCTCTTTCCACATTGTACTGGGGCTAATCTTTGTGACCAACGTAATATGGCATAGTGATAGCTTGTGAATTCCCAGTCTAAACCATAAAATAACACTGCTGCTTCCGCCTTGTTCTCTTGGATTACTTGTTCTCTGCAAAACCAGCCACTATGTTATGAGGACGCTCTAGCAGCCCAGCCCTGTGGAGCAGCCAATAGCTACCACCAACTTACCAGCCCTTTGACTGAGGCACCTTAGAAGTGGATCCTTCAGCCCAAGTTAAACATTTGGATGACCAGATGCCCAGCCAACATCTCAACTGAAATTTCATGATCAACCCTGAGCCAGAACCACCCAGCTAAGCCATTCCTGACTTCTTAACCCATAGAAGCTATGAGATAATAAATGTTTATTGTTGGTTTAAAGCACTCTGTTTTGACTAATTTGTTATACGGCAATTGATAATTAATATCCTGAGGTAAGTGTTTCTCTAGGATCTACACAGGGGAAAATGCCCAGTTGTTAGGTCTGTACTTGCTTATCTTGCTGTGATATTGCCATGATGCTCTCCAGACGACTGCACCAGGTTAGCCTCCTACCAGCAGTGGAAGAGGGCTCTTTCTTCCTACTGCCCAACCAGTTCTCAATATTTGGGTTATTTTTTCCTAACGATTTATTACAGATTTTGAATTTTGAAAAGTATCAAAATATCTATGCAATAAATAGACACTTCAGTTGCCTATTTGGGAAGACTAAGGTCATCTTTCTCATCTGTATATAATATCCCTGCAGCAAATGTGTATTGTTTACTTTTTAAACATGTAAGAAATCTTTTACAACCAAGTGTGATCAATTTAGCTAGTAGATATAACAAGTGAATTTACTAAATAATGTCATTTAAGGATGAAAATTGATATTACATAATGATTGAGATGTAGGTTAATTTCACATACATGATCTCACTTAGGGTTAGATAGCTTTTTATTATATAGATATTTTACATACAAAATATCTATGCAATAAATAGACACTTCACTTGCCTATTCAGTAGCAGTCTTGTCTTTTAGATGCTGGTTGGCCATATGATTCAGGGGGTGAATCTTTGTTAGTAAGCCAACCATAGTAACTCCATTCCTCTTGAGAGTGATTGCTTAATGAAGGCATGTGATAGAATTCTAGGTAGTGACAAGAGAGCAAGTCGCTGGGAGACTTCTGGAGAAGTGTCCAGTGGAGAGCTTGTGTCCCAAAGTGACATATACTCTTGTCTTTGGAAATGGTTGTCAGAGACCATGATGCTTGGAGCTTCTGCAGCCATTATTCAACTATGCAGAGAGAATATGAAAGTAACTCTGAGGAGGAGGGTGAGTACGGGAGGGGGAAAGAAAGGATTCTTTATAACATGAGTCATCAAATTAACCTTGGAACTGCTACTACATCTGAACACTTTGCTAGGTGAGAGAATATGTTTATTGTGTAAGCCTTTTTGATGTGAATCTTTTCTTTCAGATGGAAGTATCTTGATATAGCCAGGGCTACTGCTTCATAGCTATTCAGGCTACATGCTGTACAACTCAAGAGTGCTTCATTTATGTAGACCAGAGTACAGCTCATTTCACAGGTAAGAAAGCTAATATCAATACTACTAATACTCATTGCCACCCAACTTAGTAAACTTGAGTTAGGACTTAAACATTTGTTTTTGGCCTTCAGAAACAGCATTCCTCAGAACATGTTATGACTGATTTTCTTGATGACTGTGAATATTTGTTGAATGCATTTTTTCCACAAAATATTCCATCACTCATCTGAACACTGGTAGCATTACAGAATGATAATATTGAGATGTTTATTAATTTTTATCTATTTATTTTTTTGAGATAAGGTCTTGCTCTGTTGCTCAGGCTTGAGCGTAGTATTGCAACCATGGCTCACTGCAGCCTCAAATCCTGGACTCAAGCAGTCTTCCCCTCAGCCTCCTGAGTAGCTGGGACCTCAGGCCCATGCCACCACAACTGGCTAATTTTTTTTTTATTAGAAATGGGGTCTTGCCATGTTGCCCAGGCTGGTCTTGAACTCCTGGGTTCAAGCGATCCTCCCACTTCGTCCTCCCAAAGTAGCAGGATTATAGGCATGAGCCACTGTGCCCAGCCAAGATATTTATTCTTAAAATATTAATGCATACTAGTTTATTTAGAAACAGTTACATTTCTTTGGAATGAAAATATAAAAAGAAGAATGAAAGCTAATCTTGCTTCTGTACATGAGGAAGAAACTAGGTCTAACTTTAACCCTCCTACTGTAATCAATCAGGCAACTGGACAAAATATATGAAACACATGTGTTCAGACATTATATTATAGGGGCAGTATAAGACTCTTAATTCCTAAAATAAGTGTAACAAATGAAGCTGGTCTTGTGTTTTCCCTGGCTTCTACTGAAGGCACTTTCTGGACTTTAGCGGAAGACGTATATTCCGAATAGAGCACAGAAATCACACTGAATTGAGGAGACAGGTCAAAGTTTAGGAAGGCTGAGGTTGCTGGTGTTTCCAGGTTATAATACCAGAGAAGAGAGGGCTATGCAGAAACAGCTCCAGAAATCAAGTCTGCCCTGAGACATTTGATAAATACTAACCTGCACGTGATGAGGATGGAACTCTCCAAGGCCAGGCAAAAAATGACCAGGGATCTATAAGTCAAACAATCCCCAGAGCTCACACAGGGCTGGGAGACATTTGAGTTCTGACCGGTCAAAGTAGAGTAGAGAAACTTTAAAGATGAACTCCCAGGAAATTCAGTAGAGACACCAAAGAGTCACACCTTAAAGAGTAGGGCTAAACTAGCTCTGGAGAAAAGGCTACTATACTCCTCCCCTAACAAAGTTTGCAAACAAGCCTCTAAAGGATCAAAATGATCTGCAAGTAACTTAACTGCCTACTAGAACAAAGTCCAATATTCTTTAGAGAAGACAACAAAATTCAGCACTCAACAATGTAAAATTTAATATGTTTACCATTCAATCAAAAATTACTATACCTAGACATGAAATGAAGGAAAACATGACCTATAACCAGGAGAAAAATCAGTCAAGAGAAACAGACCCAGAAATGACAAAGATGATGGAATTAAGAGGAAAGGATTTTAAAATAGATTATTATAAATATGTTGAAGGAAAAATGAGCATGATGAAGAGAGAATGAAATATGTAGAAGACAAACAGAAGCCCTGGAGATTTTTTTTAAGAAGTACGACATACAAAAATAAAATACTCATCATCAAGTGGGATTTATCACGAGAACAAGTTCAGTTTAACTTTTGAAAAACATCATAGTAATAGAATATTAGAAAAATTACCATATTAACAATATAGGAAGAAAGCCAATTATCTCAATAGATGCAGAAAAAGCATTTGAAATTCATTTCGTGTTTACAATTCTAAGCAAATTAAGACTAGAAGAGAATCTCCTCAGTGTGACGAAGTGCATTATGAAAAACCTATACTTGGCATCCTAAGTTGAAGACCAAATGGATGCTTTCATTCTAAGATTGGGAACAAGGCAAGGATATTCATTTTTACCACGTATCTTCTACATTGCACTGAAAGTATTAGCCTTCACAAAAACAAAGAAGAAATAAAAAGCACTCAAAATGGAAAGGAAGAGGCAAAATTGTCTTGATTTGCAGATGACATGATTATGTATATACACAATCCCAAGGAGACGAAAAGATAATCAAAACTAATAAGTGAATTTAGCCAGGTCACAAGACCCAAGAAAACAATACTTAAGTTAGATTTCATCAAAATTAAACATTTATGTTATTCAAAACACATTCTTTTTTAAAAGAAAAGAGTACTGATTGAGAGAAAATACAAAATTGGCAATACACCTGTTTTTGAAAAATTTGTATCAAAAATATGTTAAAACCCTTATAAAATATAACTCCACAAAAGAAGATATACAAATGGACAGTAAGCACACACAAAAGTGTTTAATTTTATTAATATCAAACAAATGGGAGTTTTTTTTTAATGCGTAATGAGATACAACTATACACTCACTACAATGACCAAAACTAAAAAGGCTGAAAATAAATACCACCTGTTGGCAATGATGTAGAGGAATTTGGAACTCTCATGTAGAACCATTGGAAATAGAAAATGGTATGACCACTTTGGAAAATTGTTCAAGTTTCTTATAAACTCAAATACACACTTTTCATAGTAATTCCACTTGTGTGTGTTAATCAAGAAAAATGGAATCATGTTCACACAGAGACTTGAACAAAAATGTTAATAACACTTTTATTCATAATAGCCAAAACTTGGGGGAAAAAAACTATTCATTAACAAGTGAATAAACAAATTGTGCTATGTGTGTAGAATGGGACATTAGCAATAAAAAGTAATAAACTACTAATATGCCCAAAAGTTTGAATCTCAGAAACATAATGATAAACAAAAAAGCCAGACACAAAAGAGTATGCACCATATGATTCCATTTATATGAAATTCAAGAAAAGGCAAAAACAAATCTACAGTGAAAAAATGCAGATCAGTGGTTACCTAGAATCAAGCAGGGATGGAAAAAGGTTGATTGCAATGTGTCATGGGAACTTTTTGTGTGATGGAATTATTCTACTATTTAAGTGATGTTAAAACTCAACAGAATGTCCAGTTTAAATAATTGCATTTTATTTTATGTAAATTAAACTTTAGTCCATTTTCTCAGAAACCTAAAGATTTGGTATCTGGATGTGTTACATCGTTAATTTTATTATTTATCCATCATTTTTATTTATCAGCACTTCATAGCATAGGTGGTCACCTCCACAGGTAGAGGATTTTCATGGTAGTTTGTCTTTCAATGCTGATTTTTTTCAATGTGGAACTGGTGCTACGGTGGCATAAAATATGTTTAAGCCCTTCATATAATTTGAGAGTCATATGAAAGACAAGTGGAAAGGAATTTCCTTCTGAAAAATGTGGCAATTCAACTTTGAATACAGCAGGCTGATGCCTTACCTGAATCAGGAATAAAAATTACATCCCTGTTCATCTTCATACAGTTTCAAATATTACCTCTGTGAGTGTTTCCCAGTGTTTTTAACATTAAGTACGGCCAGGCATGGTGGTTCACACCTGTAATCCCAGCACTTTGGGAGGCCGAGGCAGATGGATCATGAGCTCAGGAGATTGAGACCATCCTGGACAACATGGTGAAACCCCATCTCTACTAAACATATAAAAATCAGCCAGGTGTGATAGTGTGCGCCTGTAGTCCCAGCTACTCAGGAGGCTGAGGCAGGAGAATCGCTTGAACCTGGGAGGCGGAGGTTGCAGTGAGCCAAGATCACACCACTGCACTCTAACCTGCTGACGGAGCAGAATCCGTTTCAAAAAAAAAAAAGACATCTATGGTTGTTGT